CCCCACCGTACCCCACCCACCCACAGGCTCGTCCCGCCCCTCGCCCGCCCTGGGTGCGCCCGAGACCGCCGAGCGCCTGGTCGGCTCCCCCCTCGCTCCTGGGAAGCGACCCCCAGTGCGCCCCGGGTTCAAAGGCCCCGCGCGGCCGCTCCAGCCCCTCGGAGGGGCGGGGAGGCGAAGGGGGTGGTGCGGGAGCCAGAAAAGCCCAGAGCCACAGCCGGCCAGCCCTGCAGGGATGGGCAGAGCGCTCTGAAAGTTGGCGACCGCCGCAGCCACCAGCCCCAGCCGGGACTCGCAGCCCAGGCGGCCGGGGCCAGAGCTGCACCCGCCCCAGTGCCCTGCCGCGGCCACGAGCGGCGTCCTCCAGGCCCGGTGCTCCCGCGCCCGATCGGGGTTCATGGAGCCGGGGCTGTGGCTCCTCTTCGGGCTCGCAGTGACCTCCGCCGCAGGTAAGCGTGCGGGGCGGGGCGGCGCGTCCCTCCTGGCGCGAGTGCACACAAAAGGAGCCCGGCGCGGGGTCTGCGTCGCGGAGCGGCTCTGCACCCCGAAGGCGCCCCGGGAGGGGGGCGGGCAGGGGACCCGAGGAGAAGCAGCGACTACCTCCCACTGGATCTGGGGGCTGCGGTCTGGGCGATTTGGACGATTTTTTTCACGAAGTTGGGAACTTGCAGCAAGTTTTCAGAGATGATACAAACTATTTGCAAAGTTTCAAAGTGTGCAGAGTGCATGCAAGTTTTTCCCCAGTGCGAATTAGCTTTCAGACTCTGCACAGACTGAAAATAGTTTGCAAGCTTTTCACCAAGTGTGCACACAACTTTGCAGACTTCAGGAGCTGCGTGCATAGCTGCAAACTCTTGAGGACTTTGGGCTAAGTTTGGAGATGTTAGGGAAAATGCAACTAGCATACTTTGCAGAGGTTTTGTGTTCTCTCATTCATATTTGGGGGGAAATAATGGACATCCAGACCTCTGTACTAGCAGCTCGTGAGCCCCTCAATCTGCCTCTTACAGGATTCGTGCCTTGCCCCCAAGCTGGGGGCTCTGGCAGGACCAGCGTGCCCCCGGCCCCTCCTGCAGCCAGATCAGAGGGGGACTGTGAAGAAACTGTGACTGGCCCTGGTGAGGGGACTGTGACCCCAACAACTGCACAGCACCCAGGTTCTGGAACCGCTGGGCAGGAGCAGAAACCAGACCGGTCTGAGGAGCAGGAGAACCAGGGGGGCGGGGCACACCACCGGCCCCGGCGTTGCACCTGCTTCACCTACAAGGACAAGGAGTGTGTTTATTATTGCCACCTAGACATCATCTGGATCAACACTCCTGAGTAAGTGGGTCAGGGCTGGGGGATAGAGGGCACAGCCTTCTGCCAGGCCCTCAGCTTCCCCATCTCTGTGTGGGCCTGGACTCACCTCTGTTGGGCCCCTGAATCTGCACTGGCACTACATTCGGCTCTTAAGGGTCTCCTGCCACCACAAGTTGTCTTCGCAAGTCAGAGGTGACCCACCTCCCCTCTGAGCCCCGGGCCCAGGAGGAACTCAATCCCAGGTTTGAGATTTGGTGGGAAGGCTGATCAGCGGTTTGGGATACCTGGAAGTTTCTCTGAGCCGCTACCCCAGGAGCTAAATGGGCTGGGCCTTATTCCTGACTCTACCTGGCTAGCTGGAATTTGGAATTCTTTAGGAACAGCTTGCTTCTGAGGATGAGGAGAGGCAGAGGTGTGGGCTTGGCAGAACAGATGCCTCCACCAGTGAAATGGCTTTTCCCTCTGCCCATCCTGGACACCATGCCTATGATAACTAACACACATGCATGGCATGACTGTCAGTCCATGGGTCTGACTCAGTGCCACAGTCATGGCACGGAGGTTGCTCAACTTTAAGGTCTCATACCCAGGACCTGGCGGTAGAGTGCTGATGCTGTGTAGAGCCAGCCTTTTTTGGTGAGGACCATCTTCTCCCAAAGCTGTGGTAGGGTTTGACTGCCCTGTCTCCCACCTCACTCTCAGTCTCTGAGAGCCTCTTGTGCTAAGACACATCTTGCAAGCAGAATAGAGGACTTGACCTTGCTCTGGTCATGTCTCTATGGCTGGACTCTTCAACCCCTAGAACGTGGTCTAGGACGTGGTCTTGCTAAAGTCAATTACCTGGATGTCCTCTGCATTTCTGAGGATACCTACTTGCATTTGCCTAAGGATTCCTGGCCAGGATCTTGAAGATGATTGACCATAAGATTTTAGCCTGGAAAGGAAACTTTCCTTTGTGGTTTCCTTTCTCCCAGAGCCCATTAGCCTCAGAGACCTCTGGGTGGTGGCTTTGAGGGAGGCACTCACCACCTAGACATGGCTGTCATGAAGCACAGGGTGAAGGGGTAACCCTGAGGGGCCCAGAGTCTTTTGAATCAGGACTTCTAATTACATCCAGGTAGGTCTGAAAGTCTCTCCACCATGTGAGGAAGGTCAACAGGGCCAGCTTCCCTGATGAGCCACCAGGACGCCTGCACAGGCCCTGGGCTCAGAAGGAGCCTGGGTTTGTTTAATGATATCTGTAGCTCTCCTACAGTTCCCGTCCTTTACCAAACCAAGAGCTGTCCAGTGGCCTTTTGTCCTCTGTCTCACCAGTTCTGTGGCTGATCCTGAGGCTTGATTTGCTTTCTGACCAAGTTTGATGAGACCCTTGTCCAAACTGTCAACCCACAGTGGGGATGGGAGGATGGTGCAGATGAGTGTTGGGCTGTCATGGATTGTTTCCTCTTCTCAGACAGCCACAGGGTCAGCTTTTCTTACAGACACTATCACCCAGACATGTGTCCTCTCTGACTCCTGTCCATTTGCTGTTCTGACCCCACCAAAGAAGCATCCCAGAAATGAGGGCACTGGACAGTCAACAGAGACCCTGGGTCCTGGTCTTGGCTAGAATCCCAAACTTCGAGTTTGGAGAGAGGAAGGAGAAAGTCAGCTTAGTGCAGGGGCAGGGCCGAGGCCCTGGAAACTCCCTCAGGTCTCTGCCTGTCCTCCAGGCCCATGAGCACTGCTTGGGCTGGAAGTGGTTACCTGAGACATGCCCCAGAGGCTCCACAAACATTTGAAAACCTATGATGGAATTTTTAGTTCTCGTGGATGGCTGAAAGGAAGCTGTGGATTTTCAATTTTTTTTTCTAGGCCAGCCACCTGGATTACTTTCTCCTACAGTCTAGCTGGTCTCCTCTTCTCTTCTTGATTTACTCTAACTGGCGAGGGGGAAAGGATGAACCCAGCATTGAACTGCTTGGGAAACAAAAATGACAATTACCAGACTTGAGCACTTTGAATTCAGACAAGATAAACGTTAGAAGGGAGATGTTTCCTGGACGGCCTTCTTCTCTGCCCTTACTCTGTTCCTTTATCTTCCCTCTCCCTCCTAGTTTTCTCCCCCTCCTTAAGTAGATTCACTTGCTAGCTTTCAAAACTGGAGGACAAGGTTACAGTGCAAGAAAATGGGCTCAGTGGGCCTGCAGTGAAATGGAAAATCTGAACAGTCTGACTGACAGTAAAAGGTGCCTGGTTGTACATGGCTGGGTCTTTTCTAGAGGGGCCACTGACCTCTGCCTCAGCCCTTCCTCTCCAGTGTTCCCTTCCTCCCACATCACCCCATCCTTAGCAGATCTCCTGATCTCACTCTCCAAATGCTCCCCTCTCCTTGATTGCTAGTGGTCCCTGTGGCCAGACGCTCAGGAACCTGGAGGAGCCCGGATCTTTGTTCTACGCCCAGAGCCTTGAACTCTACATCCCTCTGCTGTTTTGTGCTTCTCCTCCCACCTTCTCGGTTGTGTGGAGACCGAGCCCATGGTCTGGCTTTGTCTTTGAAGAACACTTGGGTGGACCTTGGGGAGGACCATGTTGAAAATAGGGTTGCTTCTGCTCTGTCCGAGGACCCATGATTCTGCAGGACTAATGTTGGGGTACTGTTGAGCCCCGTTCCACATCCTCACAGGATGGTAACTGTGCAGGTTGGACTAAAGAACCTGTTCCCCGCCCAGCAGTTTTCCGGACAGAAGATGCGCGACTCTCCCAGGCTCCTCTGAGCACTGAGCTCACTGGGTGCTTTCTGGCAGCCCTCAGCTGCTGTGCTTGGTCCACCGATGTCGCTGACTTGCGGTCAACCCTGTACCTTGTTTAGCTTTTTTGCCTTTGCTACGGCTATAGTTGTAGTCTTCAGGACTTTCTCACACGCAAGAGGTCTCTTGGCCCGGGTGTATGGCCCTCTTCAGAGAGCACCTGCATGTCGCTGCTGTCATTTGTGGGGGTGCATTCTGGGGTGCCTTACCTATCACTTTCCTCATATTCTCCAAAAGGCCCATGACCCTGACAGGGAGCACATAACGCATCCCTTACCAGTTGCATGTCTTGGTTCCATCCACAAAGGCATCTGAGATCACAGATGGCATCTTTCTAAAACTTTCCTTGGCCATGTGAGGATCTCCAGCACCTCACATCCCCCAGGCAATCCGACCACAGCCAACGAAAACCAGAGCAAAATCCAAACCAAGGAAAACCCACCCCATTTTGTCCTGGGAAATTTGCAAAGCATAAGGCAGTGTGGGGGGAAATGATGCACGGAGTGACTGTGTGCTTGGGGTGTCCTTCACGGGCATTTTAAAACACAAGTATCTCACAAAGGATGTGGAGATTATAAAAGTTACAGTTTCTCAGGGGGACAGAGGCATGTTTGTGTGTCCACTCAGAAACAGAGAGAACACAGTTGTATAGTTGTGGCTGCAGGCTACAAGAAGCTGGAAATTCCAGTGGGAGCTGGTTGTATAGACTTGGGACTGAAGGGAGCCCCAAGGCAGAATTTCCTCTTCTTTAGGGGACCTCTTGATTCTTAAGGCTCTCCACTGGTTGGATGAGGCCCACCTAGATTGTGGAAGGCAGTCTGCTTTGCTCAGAGTCTACTGAGGTAGGCGTTAGAATGACATCTGAGAAAGACCCTCACAGAACCTTCTAGACTGGTGGTTGACCAAACAACTGGGTATTGACAGAGAAAAATGAACTGTCATAGGACAGTGGGTCCAACGTGCCTCACTCTGAGGCCAGCCCCCTCTGAGACTGGTATCAGAGTGCAAATGGGTCCTTCAAATACCAACAGAGCTGCAGGGACACCTTGCAAAGAGCCAGTGTGTACCTCCCCACCTCTGCCAGGGGAGCCTACTGTCTGTTAACCCTTCCAGAGACATGAGGGAGGCACTGTGAGGCTGTGATGGTGACCATGTTTCCCAAGCAAAACTCTGAGCCACATGACTCACAAGTAGGAGTGTGTTTATGGAAAGAGCAGGGCGAAATGTTGGAAATAATGACTGTAGAGGAGAGTCTGGTATCTCCCCTGCCCGCTCATGGGGGAGGCTCCCCCCCGCAAGCACCCCTAGCACCCCAGAGCTCTGTCTTGAGTCCTGGCCATGCCTTTCTGTATGGTGGGAGGCATCATTAGCCCCCTGTCTCCCCTCAGTAGGGTGCAGACCCTGGTCTAGCTGCGGGAGTGATGGGGAGGCTGTCTCCGACAGACCCATCTCTTATAGGACATCCGGCCTGCTGTCCAGCCTATGCCGAAACATGCTGCACTTACTTAATCCTGCAGGAATGACATTTGTTTTGCATTCTTTTCCTCTCCAAAGAAAGGGTAGCCTAATAATAATAATAATTAACAAAACATTGGAGCTTGCATTTTGATGTACTCTGCAACAGAAAAGGCACAAGTCCTACCTTACCTTCTGTGCTCTTCGAGAAAGACATGTTAGCACATCTCCAAGAAGAGACTGTCCAACTCTTGGAACATTACCATAGAACAGGTGGGCCTGGGATCCCAACTTCCTGCATACTGGAGCCCCTGTGCACCCACTCTGGGATTTAGGGGATCCCAATGAAAGTCCCTCTGTTCCACAGCCAGTCCTAGCGGGACCATTGCTGGAGATGTATTTATTTGAGGCTGAAAGGACAGGATCTCTTTGGCTGTCATGGTTTGGGGAACGTGTCATGACTGTCCTGTCAACAGTGAGAGCAGAGACGGATGGCATGTCATCTCCTGAGAGCGACACATCCTTTTTGGCAGGGCTTGGTGTCCTCTGTAGTTTGCAGGAGGCTGAGCTATTTGCATATGGTTTCAGGGACCCTCGGCTCAGTCCTGTAGCTCCTGGATTGGTCCTCTCAGCCCTGCTTGTGCACCTTTCCCAGCCCTGTGACTCCTGTATCTAGGCATTTGACACTGTGTGTGTGTGCATGCGTGTGTGTTCGTGTGAGTTCAGGTGCATGGGCAGGTATGTGCATGTGGGGGTGGAGGCCAGAGGTACACTGTA